AAATGAATATTGTTTCCGTTTAATTTTTTCAGGTGTAAACTAGCTGGGCAGCCGGGTGCTGGGAAAGCAGCTCCTTTTACTACACACACACTCTCTCTCAGCCCCTGAGGGAATGTGGACCTTTGTCTAAATGTCTGACACCTTGGGAAAAGAAATTTCTTGGGGGCACAGACAGATGCCCCTAAGAGAAGCAACAGAGTGAAGTTGTAGGAGAGCAGGATGTGGAGAAAGAGGCAGAAAGATTAACATGAAAGAAGCCAATAGTTGAGGAAGACTGGGAATCTCCCTACCCATCCAAAGAGGAACAAAGCAGCCTGTCTGCTTGGTAAAATCTCGTGATGGCACAAGCCTTTAATCCCAGCACTCGGGAAGCAGATGCAGGCGGATCTCTGTGAGTTTGAGGTCAGCCTGGTCTACAAGAGCTAGTTCCAGGACAGGCTTCAAAGCTACAGAGAAACTCTGTCTCAGAAAAAAAAAGTGGGAAAAGGCAGATGCTGTGTGAATGGTCTATGAAGAATCAAGACCCTTGTGGCCCAAGACTTTTAAGCCTCTTTCCCAGCTCTCTGGCTTACTTCCACTCTTTAGACTACCTTTTGCTACCAGAAATGAGAGAGGGTCCTCTCTCAGATTTCTGTTAGGTCTCAAATTTGAGACAAATTGCTGAGGTGCCTATTTAGCATATTAAAGCAGATAGATGCTGGTCACCAGGTTCTCCTTGTATTCCTCAGTTCCTACCTGTTATAGGGCCCTCTGACTGACATACCCCACTCTCTACCCTAAACTTGATCACCCCGGGGGTTGGGCTGCCCTTCTCTATGTAATCCATTTTGGTTACCTGGTCTTTTTCATCTACCCTTTACCCTCCTGGCCTGTTGGTCTGGCTCTCCCTTCTCTGCTCTCCACACATGGCTTGGGGTCATGTCCACTCTGGAATCCCCCCACCTTCCATTAGATGTCCCTGCCTCTGGCTATGCTATCCCTTTTATCTACAATAAACTTTCTTCTCCTCCATACCTAAGAACAATCATGTGCTTTCTTTTTCTTTTCTTTTTTTCATTCATCTAGTGCTGAAACATGGACCAGTTATGTCTTTTCCTTTTTTATTTCTATTTTTCATTCAAGTTTTTAGTCTGGTTAGCAAAAGAATTTAGGAATGAACTCAAAAGTTTTAAGATAATTTTGTTAATTTAAGAAAAGCAACAGAACAGACAAGTTGTAAGGCTATGATTTGGGATCACTGTGATCCCCCACTCATATCCTATTAATTTTCTAGAACTGCTCACAAAAATATACATGTAGGCGGAGGCTGCCTGTTTGTCCTGGCTGCCTAGAACCAAAATAACCATGCAGAAACTGTACTAATTAAATCACTGCTTGGCCCATTAGCTCTAGCTTCTTATTGGCTAACTTCTACATCTTAATTTAACCCATTTCTAGTAATCTGTGTATCGCCATGTGGTGATGGTTTACTGGCTAAAGTTCTGGCATCTGTCTCCAGCAGGGGCTACATGGTTTCTCTCTCCCAGGATTCAGCTTAGTTTTCCCTGCCTAGCTCTGTTCGTCTATAGCTCTGCTATAGGCCCAAAGCAATTCCTTTATTTATCAATGATAATCACAGCATACAGAGGGAAATCCCACATCATATATAGATGGACAGCTAGGTGAGAGAGATGTACAGGGCAAGGCATGGGGCCAAGGATGCAGAGTTTCCATGCCCTCTCCTATAGTGGTTTATTTGTGTTTTAATAAATAAAGCTTGCCTGAAGATCAGAGTGCAAAGATGCCACACTAGTCAGCCATACAGGCCATGCAGTGGTGGCACACACCTTTTGTTCCAGCAGCCACAATAGTTAGCCATAGAGGCCAGGCAGTGGTGGTACATGCTTTTAATGCCAGCAGTAGAGAGGAGTATAAGGCAGGATGTGGCAGGAACTTGCCCTTTCAGTCTGAAGATTTCATATAGGTAAGAGCTCTCTAGTGGTTTGGCTGCTTTGCTTTCTGATCCTCAGGTTGAACCCCAATATCTGTCTCTGGGTTTTTATTATTCGTGCTACACTCTCCAGATTCATGACCTTCCAAAATCTCCACTATTCAGAACCTCCCCCACAACCCCATCTTTTTGTGTTTTTGCTGTAGTCTTTTTTTTAATGAAGGCTTCACTGCATTGGCGTGCTTGATTATAACACTGGTTGTCAGCAGTAACTCAGCACTTAGCTTCTCTTCCCTTCCCTGAGATAAAAAGAGAAAGGCTAAAACTCTTAAACTTCTAGCATTTTTTCCATTTTTTAATACCATGAGCATACAAATGACATTTTATCCCTCTGTAGGTTCAGAGGATTTTTAGAAATTGTACACTAGGAAACAGAAAGAAGATGATTGAAATTTAATATATATTGTGTAATATTACACTTCTTTCCCCAGCCTTTTATGACTTCTATTTTTTGCTTGAATGAATTTGTTTATTCCAGGATATCTCATAGAAATTGAACCATACAATATTTGTCCTCTCATATTTGGCTGATTTCATCAAGCATAATGTTTTCAAGGTTCATCCAGGTTGCAGCTTCTATCAAACTTTCATATCCTTTTATTGCATAATAGTATCCCCATACAATTTTTTTGTAGAATATTCTTTTTAACAGTTTGTGTGTGTGTGTGTGTATACCAGGGTTACACTCATGCCACGATGTTCATATGTAGGTCAGATGGCAACTTGAGGGAGTCAGTTCTTTCCTACCACTATGTGGATCCTGGGAGTCAAACACAGGTCATCAGGCTTGACAACCAGTTGAGGTAGCTTACCAGTCCATATTTGGTATTCTTTCATTTGAATGAATAAATATTCTAATTTTTTTTCAATACTTACCTGATTTTTTTTCCTTTTTAAATTATGTTTAAATATTGTTGATTCTTGATACATTCCAGGACCACTTTAGGGTTTTGATGTAAAGTGTTCCTACAATATAGAAAAAAAATAAATGAAAAGTTACATACAAGTGGCATTCAAGAAGAAGAGATTATTCAAATTAGGAATTTCTTAATATTTATAATGTGTCAGAAAATTCAGAATTGAAACAGAACATTCTGTTCTTTTATGTCTAAGCAAATTTGTTCATTGTAAACAAAATGAGTGTAGGAAAATGAAATTTACTACTGATCACAATCTATTAAAATCTTCACATTAGAAACAAAAGATGGAAGTGTAAAGCAGTGTTTGAAAATAGAAAAAAATGATGTAAGCATTAGGGATCACTACAGAGTAACATGATTCCCTTGGATTTATTTTATGTTCCTTGAAATGCTTTTGATTTGTTTAGAAAATAGCTAAATGTAATTGCTAAAGATATAGAACAGTGAACTATGTCTTCCTATTTTATTTTATTGTGATGGTTTGTTAAAGCAATTTATGATGACTTTGTGTTCTGGATAAGTATCAGCTACCTTGAAGTTAGAGGAATTAGTAAGCACCACAAATGTTATCTGATAGCATAAGACACATGGAAACCACTTTATCTTTTCTTGGTCCTTCATTGTGAGACAAGCTAAAAAGTCAGGTAAACTTAAAGGAACATGGAAAGGGAAAAAAGCCCTTCAGTCTAGTACCAGGTTTACAATTTTCATAAGCTGATACACAGGAATTTCCATACAACTGAAAAACCATCAGTGAAAATTACCTATAGAGACAAGACATTTTTTGAGATATAACTCAAAAAACAAGTGGACCAAGCTGGATGGTCGTGGTGCACACATTTAATCACAGCACTCAGGAGGCAGAGTCAGGTGAATCTCTGTGATTTTGAGGCCAGCCTTGTTCTACAAGAGTTAATTCCAGGATAGGCTCCAAAGCTACAGGGAAACTTTGTCTCGAAAAACTGAAAAAAAAAAAAAAAAGAAAAAAGAAAAACCAGGTGGACCATGTTTGTTTGAGACCAAATGCATGTGACTTTTGAGTTTGACTTTGTCAGTATACTTATGATACACGTCATAAGCCATTTTATAGTTTCATTAATAAAAAAATCAAGATAACGTAAGTCTTCAAATTTATATATTTTATTTAGTTTTTAAACTTTATGTTTTAAAATTTACTTAATCTTTTATTCTGGTTATAAATTATATCCTTTGGGGAATATAACTTCAAAATCCACAATATCTTATATAGAGAGTTATTAAAATACAGTCTCTGTATTGTTATTTTTCTCATCACTAACTAAATACATGACAAAAACAACTTTAGACAGGAAAGATTTGTTTGAAAAGTTATAACCCATCATAGTGAAAAAGGTATGGAGACAGAAGTGTGCAACAACAACTTGTCATATAGCACCAACCAGGAAGCAGAGAGAGACAGAGAGAGAGAGCCAGCGCAGGTTGTTATTTTTTTAAGAAAAATATAGTGGTGGAGGACTGGTCCCACAAGGGATGGCAATCCCACAAGGGGCAGCCAGTCCCACGAAGGGTCGTGGCGGTGACCTAAGGCCCAGGCCTCTGTAAGTCCTCTGAGGTTTTGGTGGGTCACCTTGGCGGGTAGGAGACCAAGGTGGGTGAGAGATAGACAGATACTCCATGCAGAGAGAATTTGGGTATAGAGTTTATTTATTGAGTTATGGAGGACAAAGGATAGGGGGAAGAAGTGAGTGAGGCAGAGAGACAGAGACAGGGGTGGAGAGAGCAGGAATTACCTCTTCAGGAGAGAGATGAAAAGAGAGAGTGCAGGCTGGAGGAAACGGGAGATACACTTGAGATCTGCTTGCCTCAGTGGAAGGAGAGGGTTGGGAGTGGGCAGGGTTTGTCTCTTAAAGGAACAGGGTTCCCAGGTGACAGACCAGGCCAACAGATCATAATACAGGTCAACACTGGAGCCAGGCCATAGCTCATAGCTCTACCCCTATAGTACTATTTTCTAGTACTTGTCCAAAGGGCTCAACAACCTCCCTGATAATTGCTACCAGCTGAAGACTGAGTGTTCAAACACATGAGATTGTGGGGAACATTTTATGTTCAAACCTGCCCCTGACTTCATAACTTCTTGTACATTCCATAATTCAAAATGTACTCCATCTGACTTCAAAAGTCTCCACATTCTTAACAGCTTCGGCATTGTTAAAAAGTACAAAATCTCAAGTATCTTCTGAAACTTAAGGAAATCTTTTATCTGTAAGCCCTTGTAAAATTAGAAAACAAAACAATTTATATACTTCCAGTATACACTGGCACAGATTAAACATCATTCCAAAACGGAGAAGTGAGGACATAGCAAAGAAAGAAAATATCAACTCAAGACTGACACCAAATCTTCTAGCTCCATGTCTAGCATCAAGGACTAATGGTATCATCATTTGAGATTCAACAAGCATGGAGCTCTGTTGCCAGCAGCACACATAGTTTCTTTCTTTTCCTACCTTGTCTTAGTGCCTACAACTTTTCTAGGCAGACTTTCCCCATTCCTGGCATCGCCAACATCCTGTAGTCTGCATGGTGACTTAGACTTCACAGTCGTCGCGTTGTATATAGCACACTCAGAAGCTCCATGATTCTGCCAGACATTGTCTGATCTCAGTGGATTTCTGAAACTTTGATGCAAGCCTCCATGACCTCATATCACTCCTATTCATATCACTTCTATTTTGCATGCCTGTAGCATCAGTACCACTTAGATGACAGCAAGTTCTGCTGCCATCTTCAGATATAGCCTGCCCTCTTTGGACCACACTTAAAACTGTTGTGTGTTTTTAAAACTGAATCTTGGAAAATAACTTCCCAAGGTGGCTCTTCAGCTCTCCTCTGTCAGTTAAGCCCCGTGTCCAAAAGATTCTATAATCTCCCAAAATATCCCTGCCAGGAAGAGTCTAAATGTTCAAACACATAAGCCTGTTGTGGTTAGTTCACATTTACAGTGTAACAGTTGTATCTTCCTCTTCAAATGCCTACACATAAATCTAAAACATTTCCTTCCTTTTTCTTGTCCCTTTCTTAGTAAATCCTAGTTCTGCTTCAGATGGATTCATCCTGAAATTCTGTTCTGTTGTGTAAGTCAAGATCCTGGCCATACTCGAGTGTAAGTCTTTCGAAGGGAAAATTTTCCATTTATAGCTTGAAGCACTGTGCTACATCTCCTTGCTGGTAGTAGAAAGAAGTCTTTTCCACTTCATGGTGATATGCATTAGTTTTTTTATGTAAAGAGGCTACTGAATATAGCAACATGCTATTTGTGAAACCTAATGAACAACTACAGAAAAGCCCATTTTTAAGTATCCATAATCACTGTTTTAGCTTTTACTGTATATAACAAAATAGCAAAGAGTGTTTTCAAAAGCTCTAAGAATTCTAAGCTATTGTTTGCAGAAAGCATTAGATTCTTGAAAAAGAGCAAAACACCGTTTTATTCCTGATAAAAGCAATACACGTTGTCTTAGTCATTTTTCTCACAACCCTGAAAAACCAACTTAAGGCAAAACAGGTTTATTTGGGCTTTCAGCTTTATGGAGCAGTCTGTCATGGTGAAGGAGTCAGGGAAGCAGGAGCAGGACAGCTGCTCACATCGTGTCGGCAGTCAGGGAGCAGAAAGGAATGATCACTGGGCCCAAATTTCTTTCTTGTTTTTTATTCAACTCAGGACTTCAGTCCATGGTATGATGCAACTCACATTCAGGGTTGGTCATCTCTATTCAATTATACCTTTCTGGCAACTCTTTGCTACACATACCCAGAAGTGTGTTGCCATGGTGATTCTAAATCCAATCAAGTTGACAAGATGAACCATCACACTTGAAAGGCAAATTTAGAAATGGAAAAAAGTATGATGGAAACAAGGAATCTGTATTTTTGAGAGACTAGATAATCACTATTAAATTTTCTTGATACATATGTAAGGTTGTTGAAACGTAAATAATAATATAAGTTTGAAAAGAACCTAGTTAATCAGAGAGTAATTAAATCCTGACATAGCCATACATTAGAATTACACACATACTATTTAGTTAGCAAATAAGAAAACACTTTCTATACTGATATTAAACACTTGCAGGCTTTATTGTTAAGAGAGCAATAAGGCAGAGATCAGTGAATGCTATCTTTTCTGAAGGAGAAAGATAAGCTTATGTGAAATTCACACATACTGGGCTGTATACATTTGCTTAGGGGAAGGAAAACATGTAAGAAATAAATGAAAGTAAATATCTTTATGAGATGATGGAGGAATTGAGACATACAGGAGCCACACCAAGGCCAGGACTTATGAATCTGCATTCTGATTTGATTTTGAATTATATGAATATATAACCTATGTCTAAGAAGTTAAAAGGATGTAAACTTTAACTGTAAAGGATATCTTCCCACTGACTGTTTATATTGAGGGAAGGCTATAATTTCTACCATCATTTATTATAACCAACACCAGAAATTTTCAAGTAGTTATTCTTTAAAAGGAAGTATTTTTTTCTTTCCATGTCTTTAGTTTTAAAAAGATCATGGAATTTCTGGTTTATAGTAGTTCAGACAATATAGTTGTTGCCTGTTTAATGATAGAAGTAATTTTATATTCTGTAAAGCAAAAGTTGGCTGAGAATTTTGCTGAAAATGAGGTGGACTCCAAGGATAAATGATTTGGAAGAGAAACAGACTCAATAAGAACGAACATGATAAAGGCTAAGCTATTCCTCAAGGTGTTTAGCTGTCTAAGAGTCATAATGTAATGCATAATTCTCTACCCCCTCATCAGTGTTCTTTGTGAACATTTTAATTGAGGATATTATCAAGATATTCAATGAAACTGTACAAAGAGAGGCTAAGAAGCCAGATGTGGTGGTGCATGCCCCAATTTCAACACTTGAGAGGTACAGGCAGGAAAACCCACTTTTCAGTGAGTTATCTATACATAGCAAGTTCAAGGGCAGCCTAGGCTACATAAGACCCCATTTAAAAGAACAAGGAAGGAAGAAAGGCAGGAAGAATGCAAGGGAAGAAAAAAGAAATAGGCAGAGTATATTCTTTAGTGTTCCTGGGTTCAATCTCCAGCACCAGTAGGGGGAAAAAAAACCTGTAGAAACAGAATTCTCATAGCTTGAGGTTTAAGGTACAAAACAATAATACAACACAGCATACAAAAACTTGTCATGACTGACTGTTTACTAACTGGGGAAAATGGCAGAAACCCAAGGAAAGCTGTGCAGTTCATTTAGGATGACAGTGGGAGGATAGGGAGGTGAGTGGAACTGCCACTGTCACTGAAGTAACTCACTGAAGATGGGAACCTTGTGAGAAGAAAGAAAAGAATCCCAAAGCATACACACCAATCTGTTCTCTACACAGGTCACCTGGAAAATGAAAATTGACCTTTTGGATGACAACTTGGAAGAATATAATCCAAAACTGATGAAAATTCCATTCCTTTCAGCATTCTGAGTTTAACAAGGCAAAAAGAAAAGTTATATATTTTAAGGAGACATAATTTTTAATTAAAATTTGTATTATCTGAATTATTAACTGAGGGTCAAGAGTTCAGTTGTAGAACATTGACCTAGCATGAGCAAGACCTTCAGTTTGATCCCCACCACTGGAAACCATTTTTCCTGACCCATAATAATTGTACATGTTTATGAATGCATTATGATCATTTGATGCTCATATACAATATATAATGATTAAATAAGGATAATTAGCATTTGAACCCCCTTAAGCATTTACCATGTTTTTAGTTCTTCTAGTTCCTTAAAAAAATCCATAGTAAACTGTTCTCAAATTACTGGATGATGAAACACTGGAATTTAATCCTCTGGTTTTATTATGGTACCTGATGCTTGACCCTAAAGAGGTCTGTCTCTCTTTCTCTCTCTCTCTTTCATTGTGTTTATTCCATACTTACTGTTTAAACATAAATGTGTTATATACATGGGCACATGTTCAGTGGTACATTTTAAAGGTCAGAAGATAACTTTGTGGGATTGGTTCTCTTCTTCCACCTTTTATTGGTTTCAGGGATTGAGCTCAGGTCATCTGGTTTATGCATCAAATGTCTTTACCTGCAGAGTCATTTCACTTGCTATCCCCTTAAAGAGCTATTCTTAAAAGGGTTAAGGAGTTGTGGTAAATGATCTCAAAACTGCCTTACAGTTTGTGGTGGATTGAATAAAATGCCCCCCATAGGTCTTGGGCATTTGAATACTTTAATCTCCAGTTGGTGGCTATTAAGGAAAGATTAGGAGAGGTATGTCAGTGGGGGTCAGCCTTGAGGTTCCAAACTACTTGTGCCATTCCCAGTGTGCTCCCTGCCTCATGTTTATGGTTTGAGATGTGAGTTCTCAGCTGTTCCTGCCACTATGCCTTCAATCCACCATCATGGGATCTAAGCCTATGGAACCATAAGCCCAATTTTTATAGCTTGCCTTGATCATAGTGTTTTTATCACAACAATAGAAAAGTGACCAAGATACAGTTTTAAGACCAAGTCTTCAGTCACAGTGCTTGTGGAGGCACTTCTTGGATCGTATGTTAATGGTAAAATGAGATACTTCTTCTGCTGTGTCAGTGAGAAAATATATCATATACACCAAGTAGCTATATGGGGCTGTATGGGACTGGGCACATGGTAAGTACTGAAGTAACCTGGCAGTTTTGAAACTGTGGGTTCTCTGCCTTGAGTGCATGGAAGAAGAATCAATTTTGTCTACGTCAATCCCTTCGTTAAGTTGTTTGGTAGTACTGTATTGCACACATATACTGTTTATGTAATGGTTTTTAAATTGATGAGAACGATTTCTGACTGTTTTATGTTTTACTAAAGCTGTGATGAGCAATTGTGTATGCTTTGAATGGGTGTTTATGGTCATTATCATGGATAAGACTCTAATAGCAGAATCTCTAGGTTATGGCCATGATTGTACCTCTGGGAGCAGCAGCTGTCAAAGTGGTTTCCACTGTGAATATGCCATATTTTGTCGCTTTGAGCAGGACATGGTAGCGCCATTTGTGTTGCATTGGCAACTTGAATGATCAGATGGTCACAATTTTAGACATTCTACCAGAACTATAGTAGAATCACATTGTAATTTTAATTTGCATTTCTATGATGACAAATGCTTTTTAGCAACTTTCATTTCATACCTGCTCTTTAAGCATTTGCATGACATTGTACTCAAAATGTTAGCCTTTAGTCATGGAGTTATCTGGCAGTAAAAGTTTCAGAATGACAATTGCACTGCCAATATTTTACATTGGTAGAGATGTCTGAAATTTCCAGTGCCCTTAGAATGGGTATGATACACACAGTTTCAAACATTCAGTAGGTTCAATAAACATTGACCCAACTATGAAATCCTAATGAAGTGCTCCAAGGAAACAGTCACCATAATGAAGGGTCAGAAGGGTTGCACAGGAGGTGATGTATGTAATTTTACTTGAATATTTGAAAATCTCTGACTTCATTCGATGGTGAAGCTCCTAGAGGGAAAATAGTTTTTAATGGTCATTTTTAATTAATAAAGTGTCAAGATAATGATAGAATCCCTGAAATTGGAAAACAGAAAAGATTACTGTGCAATGCAGTTCTCTAAAAATATAGGGTATGATCCCGCCAAGACTTAGCTTCTCCAGCTGCAAAACAGTAAAATTAATGACTCTGAAACCTCTTTCAACTCTGGCCAATGTTCAGTATTTTGAATTGCTCTGTGAATACTAGGTAGCTTTTTTTTTTCATGTGATTAGATTAATTAGATGTAATAGTACAATTTTGGAGGAAAAAGAATATCCCTGTCAGGACTGACAAGTTCTCTTCCTGCAGTTTTTCTCTAAGATAATTAAGTGAATTGAACCTCTTGATATCCTAGTTGTAATAGTTAATTATGCATGAATTCTTTTCCACCATCATTTTATTATGAACATTTTCAAACACACAGGAAAGTTGGAATAATGTTGCAATGAACACTCAAAAACCTGAACACCTAGATTCTGTAACTAATGTTTTGCTCTACTTCATTTGTTAAAACTGTATACCATCCATTTATTTATCTGTAAAATTTAAAAAAAATTAAAATTAAATGACTGACCTCAGTGTATGTCTCTGTGTTTGCTCCTTGCACGTTAGGGTATGTTAATGCACTGTGTCACACACATATTCTTTTCCAGAAATAAGAGATGGCTAATGTTGTTCCTAGAATAAAATTTTGTATATAATATCCTTTAGGACAGTGGCTCTCAACTAGGAACAATTTTGTCCTGCTCCTCTGATCCAGGGGTCATTTGTCAGTGTCTGGGATAGCTTTGGTTATGATGACTTGAGTATGCCATTGATCTAGTAGAGAATAAGGGTGCTGCTAAATGTTCTAGGCTGGACAGTAGATCCCTCACAACAAAGAATTACCCATTCCCAAACATTATTAGTTCTGGTAGTGCCCAGTCTTGTTTTAGAAAGTGGTAGATCAGGGCCAGATAAATGACTCAGCAGGTAAAGGTGCTTGTCACCAAGCCTGATGATCTGAATTTAATCCCTGGGATCCACATGGTGAAAGGAGGAAAATGACTCTTGACATTGCCCTCTGCCATTGACATGGGTGCCGTGGCATGTGTGTGCTGTGGCTGATGCATGTCCTTACCCCCACAATATAATAAATAAATAAAATGCAGCTAAATCTTTCTAAAGAAATGGCAGATTCATCTCTGATTCTATTCAGAAGCATAGTTGTGTGAAGCTGTGTTGATATACTCAGGGAACTTCAGCATCACTAAGAAGAAACAAAGACTTGATGTAGCACAAATTCTAGTTGGTCTTAATAATAAAAATCAGAGTCAGATATAGGGGTTAATGCTGAAGATCAGAGAAGCAGAGAGGCCAACCACTAGAGAGTTCTTTTACCTCCACCAATCCTCAGACCGAAGGGGTGATCCTGTCCTCAGACTGCATCTCCAGACCGTGTCTGTCTCCACCAAACCTCTGACTGCACTGAGCTCTTGTCTCCTTCCATCTTATATTCCTCTCTCTGCTCAGCCATATCACTCCTGTCTCCACCTCCCAAGTGCTGGGATTAAAGGCATGTGATCCCAAGTGCTTTGTGTGAGCTCTGCTTCTCTTTTAGACAGACTCAGTCTTGTGTAGGCCAGGGTAGCCTTGAACTAACAGAGGTCCCTCTGCCTCTGTCACCCGAATCCTGGGATTAAAGGTGTGTGCTACCACTCCCTGGCCTCTAGTAACTTAACTCTGCACTCTGATCTTCAGGCAAGCTTGATACATAACAAAATATCACTACAGCTTGAAGAGTGTTTTTTGTTTTAACTTTAATTTCCTGTTTGTAAAATTATTTTTCTGAAAGTACCTTGGGTGTATCATTTTAGTTTTCCCATTCTCCCATTTTCTCATTTAGATTTGAAATACTCATACATTTTCTGCAAAGTGGTAAAAAAATCTTCAGATAATAGAAAACAACCCATCTTTTTCAGGATGACAACTGTTATCCTCTGACACACAGACTTATACCAAAGAATGAATGAATTTGGTGCTTTGTGTGCAATTCATTTATAGAGCACTTAACCTAGCATGTGAGAGTTCCTGGGCTGGTGTGGAAGGTCCTTCTGTCTATGTGTTGCTTTTATTAGTTGATGAATAAAGAGCTGCTTTGGGCCTGTTGATAGGGCAGAACTTAGGTAGGTGGGGAAAGCTAAACGGAATGCTGGGAGAAAGAAGGGCGGATGGAGAAACGCCATGTAGCCCCGCTAGAGACAGACACCAGAACTTTAGCTGTTAAGCCACAGCCATACTCAGATTAATAGAAAGGGGCTAAATTAATATAAGAGTTAGCCAATAAGAAGCTAGAGCTAATTGGCCAAGCAGTGATTTAATTAATACAGTTTCTGTGCAATTATTTTGATTCTGGGTGGCCAGGACAAACAAGTGGCTTGCTTACAACAGTGGGCTGTATTTCCCAGCAGCACCACCACCTAACCAACCAAACAAACAAAAAGGAACAAACATGGGTTGCACTGTAGCTTCCATGACAAGATTTTTAATTTTTTCCCTTTTTAAACTTTTTTCATCCCCCCCCTTTTTTTTCTCTTGAATGCTGGTGAGGAGTGCAGGAGCAGAGAGAGGGTGGATGCAAAGTGATGGGGAAAGAATGGGATTGAGATACATGTGAAAGACATGTAGAAAGGAGTGGCAGGTCGTGTTCCCACCACCCAGCTCCCGGCTAGTTTACACTTGAAATAATTACACAGAAACTGTATTAATTTAAACACTGCCTGATGCATTATCTGTAGCCTCTTCTTGGCTAACTCTCACATCTTGAGTCAACCCATTTCTAATAATCTGTATGTCACCACGAGGTCGTGGCTTACCAGGAAAAATTCAGCTTGTCTGACCTGGCTGCTGGCTGCATGGCATCTGCCTCACTTCCCTTCTTCCCAGCATTCTGTTCTGTCTACTCTGCCCACCTATGTTCTGACCTATCAGGCCAAGCAGTTTCTTTATTAACCAATGAAAGTAACACATAGACAGATAACTCTCCTCCATCAAAGACACATAGAATAAATTTTAAAAATTAAGAAAGAAAATAGCAAGCAATTTGTGTCAGAAGTTAGGGAGAAGTGACAAGTTACATAGGATCAGGAATCTGAAAAAAAAAGCACATGGATTCATTTTTTTTTTCTAGTTTGACTTGTGTTTCCTTCCCTTCATCCATTCTCAGTTTAGCTCATTTAAGGGCTTCCTCTGAATGCTTCGTCTGTATGTCTGGGATGTACACAGGCCTGGGACTAGAGTGAAGGAAAGTCAAGGGTTGAAAGCAAAAAACTCCAAAAGGCAAGCTGCAACAGCTATTCATTCATACCAATGTACACTTGCTTCCAGATATGGTAGATGTTTCGTGCTCAGGTTCCAATTAGCCTGGCCCTTGTTCCCCATCATTAACTGCATGTAATAATGGCTGGTGTGGAGAGAAAGAGTGCAATTTTTTTAAAAGTTTCTCCAGATACTGTACCTGAGAGTCTCTGCCATAATAGGCATCACCTTGGAGTATTACATTCACGAACCTAGACCAGTTTGGCGAGTACATTCATGGGAACTTGTGAGTTTTAAAACATTTTTATACTGATTATTTATTTATCTATTGACTTACTTACTTATGCATGCCACAGTTCCTATGTAGGGATGAGAAGACAACTTGTGGGAGGAGGTTCTTTCTACCATCAAGGCTGTAGGAATCAAAGTCAAGGTCTCAGGGCTTGGCAGCAAGTGCCTTTGCTGATTGAGCCATCTTGTCAGTCTGGTTTTGTGTTCCTTTTTCTTTGAAATTAGTTCTTCACTAGGGTTATAAGTAATTAAATCGATCATTTGGTAAACCTTCACCGGACACAAGAAGATATACAGAGCAGAAGTCTTGATCTTATCAAAGTGCACCCCTAACAACAATTATCACCAGCTTTCCTTGCATCCAGACCCATCTGTCGCCTGTTCCACCAGGTGCTCAGAGAGTCCAAGGGTCTCTTTGTCTGCACAGGAACTGTCTGTACGTGCTTTATCATACCTTTTCAAAAACTGAAGTATAGTGCACATATAGAAAAGGGCATTGGGGCTTGTGTATACAAGCCAGTGAAGTTTGTTCTCTGTGTGTACCTGTGACACCACCTGTCCAAACAAGATGAGAATGTTATCAGCTTCCCAGAATATCCACAATATCTAGAGCAGCCAAGACTAATTAAAGGAAACCTACTCCTCTGAAGCTTTGAAGTGGCTACAATCTCTTTTTCGTAAGTTTTTATGACTAATAACAACCCAGCCATTCTTTGGCTCATTTGCCCGTTTGCCAGCTCAATCACAGGTAAATTTCTGTCTATCTCCCACCTATCATAAACAGAACTAGATATGTTAAGTATAAATTTTAGGGCCAGAATCATGCCATTTATTCTGGATTTAAGGTAATCTGGAAATTACTGGCTGTTTTAGAGAGGTAGAGTGACTTTCAGAGCATCGTTCTAATTTTGACTCTTTTGCTTAATGGCTTTGTCAGTATGGGCAATTCAATTGACCTCTGCAACACTCAGTATCTTCTGTGTAACAGAAATAATAGTTCTTACTTAGAAACATAGTGGGGAGGGCTGCAAACAGCTTTTAGTGTTTGGTGTATAGCTGGGATTGGGTCAAAGGGATAGAGAATTGGAATGTCGAAAGTTTTCAGAACTAGAGCAGAGAGGGTTTTACTTCACTGATAACAGTCAAGAATTTCTTTCCTAGGTCTAGAGGTATGGTTCAGTTGGTAGAGCGCCTGCCTCATATTCATGAAGTCCTGGGTTTAAATTTGATCCCCAGCACTGGTGGTTAAACTGAACTCCCAGCACTGGAGAGGTGGAGGCAGGAGGATCAAAATTTCCAAGTTATCCATACATGCATAGATGCATATCCATAGTTTGA